TTGACTTACAAATTTACATTAGAGAGTTAATTGTTTATTAATATAGACATTTGACAAGAGATCAAATAACCCCCTAAATTTAATCTTTCAAGACATCTTTAGGGAATTAAGCTACGTGAGCATCCCATTCAAATATCATCTGATTTGAACAAACATATATGTTACTTTTTCTTGCTGTGATTAAGCTATTGGCTATTGGGTCATTGAAATCATTTGGTAACGTACCTATATATATTGGTTTAGTAACGTACCTGTATTTTTTTCTACTTCAAAAACCATGGTTTAATATTTAACACAAATGGGATTATCCAAAAGAATCATCTTTACATCAATAGTAAAGAAGTTCTTTATATAATATCAGTCTTTCGGTACATTCAGTGCATACTCTATAGTTGGTTCTTATTCTTGGTTTCTTATCTCTAACGACATCATCAAAAGCAGATTCTAAATCTTTGGTAGTTTTATTATACTTTGGAAAACGATGCAAGTAATCTTTTATTCATAAGCTTACTTCATAACGATTTATATCAAAATCTGGTGATTATAGTTGTGATTAATTATTCACAATGTGAAAGTTATGGATTTAATTTATTTAATAATTATTGTTATTTTAGTGTAGGTGCCTAGTCATTTAATTGTTTTTTTATTTGGATAGTTAGGGTGTTTTCGGTTTAACTTTCACATATTTAGATTATTCCTCCCAAAGACATACCCCTCACATATTGGTATGTGCAAAGAAATTAATTTTCTAACCTAATTTATAAAACAATACTTATTTCTCCATAAATTCAATTTTAAGATTTTAGGTGATGAACTTACAAAACAATTTATATCCTTACATTAAAAAAAATTAAAGGTAAAAACAAAGTTCGATCATTATCTATACTTTTTTTTCTAAAATTGTTAACTCTAATCCCAAAAAAAAAAAAAATTGTTATCTTTTTCAAGTCCATCCTTTATAATTTTTTCAAGAAATTTTTTTATTTGTGCATATTTATTGCCTTTTTGTTATTAATTTATAAAAAAATAAATTTTAATTTTATCAATTAATTAATTAAATATTCATATAACATTAATATTACAAATAAAATTTATTTTTATACTTTTTTTTTTATAAATTAAAGATGAAAAGATAAATGCTTTCTTAAAACTCTCTTTTTTTTTTTTTTCAAAAACCAAAATACCGTTTAACAAAATGACCAAGATACCCCTCGTCTTCGTGTTGAACCTTGGTCCAAAATAAACACCGGTGGAGGTGAGTCCCCCAATGACGCCGGCAAGGTGGACTTTTTTGGTGTAAATGTACCGGTCAACTGCTAACTTATACCAAGGGTCCATAGTGCTTTCCCCCACTTATATTAGAAGCACTCCCCCATCATATATCCAATTACCAAAGCATTTCTCAAAAAAGAACAATGAAACAAGAAGCTTCGTTCCATGGCCAAAGTCATCCATGAAGCCACCGCAAAAAATGACACACCTTAGCCGGAAAGTTGTTCGCTTCAACATTAAGTTGAGTTTACTCGAAAGGGTATCCATTTTTCGAAGATTTTTCAGGTTTATTTGGGATAGAATCCTTGTTTGTTCCATGGGGAGGCCTGTGCAGTACAGGAGATTGACCCCCTGCCCTGCTTCTTCTCCGGAACCGGAGGCCGAGGAGGCCGGTTGCCAACCGGTGGAACTCACTGCGACGTGTGGTGGGTGCGAGACGGATTCTGATTTGGTCCCTCTGAAGATCAGTTTATTGGGGGATTGTCAAATTGGGAAAACAAGCTTTGTGGTGAGAATAACTTGCTTTTCCTACCCCCTTTTTTTTTTTTTTAAATAATTTGCTCTGCTTTTGATTTTATTTTGAATTGGAAAATGGGTTTCCTTAATTAACTTTCATTTTACTTGAATTTGTTTTTTTTGAAGATTAAGTATGTGGGGGATGAGCAAGAAAGAAGCTTGCAGATGAATGGATTAAGTTTAGTAAAAAAAACATTATTTGTTCAAGGTGCTCGAATTTCTTTCAGCATATGGGATGTAGGATCAAATTTGAACTTGATTTTCTACAGATTTTATTCATAATTTTATTTTCCTGATTTTGTTGTTTGTAGGTGACAGCAGCTCGGTGGATCATGTTCCTATTGCTTGCAAAGATGCAGTGGCAATTTTGTTTATGTTTGATCTTACCAGTCGGTGTACCCTCAATAGGTTGATGATTAAACTTAAGACATTTGATTTCTCCTTGAATGAAAAAGTTGTGCAATTGATCAATTTTTTCTGATTCTTGTGATTTTGTTGGTTTTGAGCAGTGTTGTTGGGTGGTACACTCAAGCCAGAAAGTGGAATCAGGTAAAAAAAAAATGGTCTCCTTTCGCATAATTAAGCATTGTTAGTCTCTCAGGTAGCAATTCATTCATTTTCCAGTTGCTGATGGGTGTTAATTGCATTCTTATGGGGAAAAGTGCTTGAATTAATGGATGGTTTGTATCAGTAAATGGTATCACCAGCACACTTTTTTGAGCGTTGGAGCCCTTAAATCCAGTCATATGAAACTGTTGAGTTTGATCTTTGCATTATATTGGGAAAGTAGCTTGTTCTGTCTGGTCTTTATATAAGTTTCTATCTTTGAAAGGATGCACTTATTGATCTCTGCATTTCTTCTTTCCCTTTTACCTGCATCTGCAGACGGCGATTCCAATACTAATAGGGACCAAATTTGATGATTTCGTAAGATTACCCCCAGATCTGCAGTGGACTATTGTGACTCAGGTATGGCATTTCTACTTTAGGAACAGTTTCATCACCTAATTAAATATTATCATGGCCGTCTCTCTGGCCCTTCTGAAATTAAGCAGAATTGGTGATGTCTCTATTTGCCATTAGAAAGCAAGAAAATGACACAGAAAAATGCTGCACAAATTATGGAATTAATGTGTTTGATACGATAACTTAATGCATTTAATTTTCCTTAGTAGCGTGGGAGAATGAAAATTGTTCCTGTAGAAGACCGGGAGTGACTCAGGGGATCTCCTATGCCAAGGCAAATTTGACGTTTTTGACACTTTCTTCATGGATCTAATTTCTTTCTCTTTGCGCGTTTTAGAGATAAGTCTTAGGGGCCACATGTTGATTAAAGTTGCATTTTGGGTTACAGAAGGACAATCACTAATTACTTTAGACAAAGAAAGTTTTCTTTATACAGAAGAGAATATAATGACATGAGTTAGCTTTGTTAATCACAAATTTCATGTTCCTAATCAGGCACGAGCATACGCAAGGGCGATGAAAGCGACCCTTTTCTTCTCAAGTGCTACACATAACATAAATGTGAACAAGATCTTCAAGTTCATCATGGCCAAGCTCTTTAACTTGCCCTGGACCATAGAGAGGAACCTGACCATTGGAGAGCCAATTATTGACTTCTGAACTCTGTTTTTCAATCTCTGATTTTCATGTACATAGCCTTAAAGATAACATAAAGAAAAAGAGGTAAAGAAAAAAGAATGCTCAGTGCTGGCAAAGTAATGACTCTCAAAGACCATCACTGGTTGTTTGGTTCTTTTACTCCTCTTTTTCTTCTTCTCCTTCATTTTCTTTTTTCAAAAAAAAAGAAAATTTCTTATTATAGTTTATTCTGAATTTGAAGGTAGCTAATGTGTAAGGTTTTTTCAAGGGAATGAGAAATAATAAAATTAGATCTTCACGTGATAACATCGAGGAACCAAGGATTAAAAGTTTACCCTTGTTGCAACCACTAATTATAAAATTTTAATCTGGGTCAACACCAAGATTTTAAATACATATGATGTTTATTATTTATATTTGTAAAAAATTTAACTTAAAAAATATAAAATTATACTGTTTTAATAAAATATTATAAAAAAATACAATATTATATTAAAAAAAACACTAAAATCGTTTTATCCTTACTTTAAAAATTAAGATGTTTTAAAGCCAAAGCTGTGATGCATTTGAAAGCTGTGATGCATTTGGAAGCTGCGCATGCTAGAGGTGGTTGATCATTTACTAAAGTTTATTTGTATACTTTATTTGTGAGTCTTTAATGCTTTAAGTTGGATGAATTGAAGTATTTTTTGTACTCTATTTAATAAAATTTTATATTTGGTTTAATAAATAAAAAAATTAAGACTTTTTAATTTTTTTAATAAAAATTTATTAAAATAATAATTTTAAGTATTTTTTCATTTAATTTTTTACAAATATGGTAGATTGACATTTTTCTGATAGCTTCAAATGTAAAAAATGAAAACAATTGAGGAATCAATGTCTGCTATTTTGAATAATTCTACTTGTTTATGAAGAAATGGATTAAATAAAGATGATTGGGTCCAGATGATATAAAATACAACATATTTGGCCACAATCTATATCCCCTGTCATGTTCTTCTTTTGTCAATTTGATACCTAAACTCTTTGAATGGACTAATCAGGTCCTTGGGACTTTGTTGGGTCCACAGAGAACACTACCTACAAATCAAAATAGTTTCTGCTTGACTTAATAAGGGGACTTGACCAGAAATAATAGATTGCAGGCACCACAAATGATGATGTTTATGAACTCTGCCTTCAAGAGAGGGACATGTTTATATTGAAAATCTTAAAACACCATATACATTGTAAAATATGAGAGTTTGTCATCATAGACAACACAGGCACATCAACTTATACAAGCAGCAAGCACATACTAATTCACTTCATCAAAAACCAGGGAAGAAAACATGAGCCACGCACAGATGCCATATATATATATATATTTGAAGGTCGATACGTTTATCAATATATTGATATACGAACATTCTTTGAGGCCTTACTCAATTCATGCACCAATTGCGCCCGCTCTGCATAATGTTCCATGTTAATGCCACCATCATCATCAACTTCTCTGCAAATGTATATATTCACTTGCTCGATGGCTTTTCCAATGCGGAGAATGAATTGCAGGGTGTACAATTCATCATCTGTTCCTTTGAAGCCTTTAACCACCACCACCTTCAAGAACAATTTTTCGAAAAAGTCCCTTGCCCAGTTCACATATGGGCGCTCAACATCCTATAACATAGACATTTTAATTAATCAAAACAAGCACAAGTGAAAAAAGGGAAATGAGCTACCATTATCAGATAGACTTACAGTGAAAATTTTAGTAGGGTAAACCTCAATAGTAAGAGTCTCAAGCAATATACAACTATCTAGTAAGAATTTGATCCCGAGAAATTCACGAGCATGCAATGAAGTCTTTAAGATCAGATGGTTAGCACATAGAGCGAATGGCGCAAAATTCCCATAGGGAATAAGCTGAAATGAAGAGGCAAAGGAAACGAGTTGTCAGTAACATTCTCATGCTTCACACCGAGACCTCACACGGCCTCTAAGTGTGTCTTAAATTAAGGTTGTGAGATATACATACCAGTGAAGCGATGAAAATGCTTAATAGTTAAGATTGTCAGATATACATATATGAAGCGATGTATGTGTTATATCTATAACCATTTTCCCTAATTCTTATGCCAAAACAGCATGAGCAAAAGAGAGTTGCCTTAAAAACCAAATTGAAGCGTTTGTGTGCAAAGAAAGAATGGTACCTGGATCAGATACGAGCAAACAGAAAGGACGTTGGCAAATTGTATTTGCTCCAAGAAGGTATAAATGTATATTTCACTATCGAGCGGCTCAAACTCAGTTACCATCCCGAAATCAAGGTATGCTTCATCCAGACCGGATTGGTTTTCCAGATAGAACAGCCCTACCGGCCCTGAATAGTTGAAGTAGCGGAGCTCTGGTCCCTCGATCGAGATCCAACAGGTGCCATTATTAAAAAGGCATTTGTCAATGACTAACTTTTTCAGCCTGAGTTTCACAAAAGAAATGTCGATCTGCTCGAAACCCCAACACCTTTTTACGCTTAAACTCTCAAGCAGTGGACAGTTCTTCAGCAGAGTGTTTATATGACTCCCACTGAGTTCCATCCACCCAAGAGAGAGATCCTTCAGCATACCCAAATTCACTAATGCAGATACGTTAACCTTACAAAGGACAAGGTTCAGGGACTCAAAACCTTTGTACTTGTAAGCCTGTCAAAGTAAATCGTGTCAGATTCAAATTTCTGTAATAGCTAAGCACCAACTTTCTTCCACTGATAAAAGGAAAAACGTACCTGTGATGGTAAATGGAAGATTGGTTTTTGTTTTTTGAGGAGATCCTCGTCATCCCACGTTGGATCGGAGAGATCGAGGGTCAGCCCTTTGGTGTGATGATCTAGGGCAAACTTGACCCAACCTTGCATGTACTTAGCGATATCTATGCGCCTAGAAAAGACTAGGGCGAAGTTTCTGATGCAGGGCTCCTGAAACTCACGGATCCATTTCTGGGCAAAGTCCAGGAAATTTCTTCGCTGTTCTCTTTGGTTTTCAACAGAATCTTCAGGATCCACGAAGAACCCCTCGTTCAGCTCAACGTTGCCAGTAGAACGCCAAAAGTTGCACCAATGTTTTGACAGAACGGATGTCCTCACAGCCTCCTTAAAAGGTAGGAAAGAAATGATGATTAAGATAAGAGACTCTGGAAGCTTTTGGAAGTGATCTTTGGAGGGTAAAGAGGAGCGTTTGTGGTGAACCATAGCTGCAACTTACAAGCACAAATCTATTTGCAAGAGGTGAGAAAAAGCTGGTGAGGAAAAACCAGTGGGTGGGTTTGAGTTTAAAAAGAATCCAAGGATGGTAAAACTCGAAAAATGAGTTTATAACGTCTGACAAGTGGGAAAAAATATGAAGCTTCTGACATAAATGGATTAAGAGGGAAATTACTGGTAATAAATTTTGATACTTATGTTAAAAGAAAATAACCAGAAAAAAAAAATTTGGTTTTGTAGAACCAGTATGTTTGGTTCGAATGTCAGAATACATTAGGCTTGTAGGGGAAGAATCATTGTGTGCATGCATGTTATATAGATGGAAAGAGATAGGTGGTAGCCAATAATTTAGAACCATATATAGGGATGAAAAGGTTATATGTTGCCTAGTTGGCTAGATTTTGCCTGCCATATTGGGATCAAAGGAATGAATGAGATGTAAATTTTTATTTTTCATAACCTTATAAGAAATTAAATACAAATGGTTTGTTAAAGTGTAGTACAGTTTAAAGTGTACTGGATTGCACTATATTAATCATTAATAAGGGTGAGTCTCTTTATATTGGAGGCCCTCCACCTCATTCAATAGTTCTTATTTTACGATTTTGTGCAATTTAGACCGTAAAATAATGTTTCCATATTATATTTCCTTTTAATTAATTTATTCATTTGAAAAAGTAAGATATTTTTTTAAAGGAAAAGGAAAAATTAAGACATTATGGTATTAAAAATGTTAAAACATTTAATAATAATCACATGATGAATTTAATAAAGTTAGGTCTACATCATATTTTACATATTCAATACTTGTGATCAGGCATCCTAAGATTTTAAATGCGAGGACATCTTGATTTTTTTTTTCTCTTTTTCTTAATTATTTGTTCTTTGATTATGATTTTTAGACTAAAAATAATAAGTATGCCGCCACAAATACTCTAATAAATAATCTTATCATGTAAGTAAAAAGTTAATTAAATGTTTTACGATATGTGGAGATTCGAATCTTAACGACATCTCTTTTTTAAAAAGCATATTAACCGTCAAAACTAAATATAAGGACATTGCCCAAAGCATTCTAATAAATAACCTTGTTGTATAAGTAAAAGTTGAATTAATAGTTTCAAAATATGTAGAGATTCGAATCTTAACGATCTCTCTCTTTCTAGAAAAAAAAAAAAAACATATTAACCATTAAAACTAAACATAAGGTCACCACAAATAATCTAATAATTGATTTTTTTGTATATCTAAAAGTTAATTAAAATAGAGAAAGTTAATCATAAATGACCTTAATTTATATAAATGACCCTTTTTGAGTAGCCGCAAGCACTCTAATAAATAACCTAATTGTATTAAAAATAAAAGGAGTTTCAAAATATATAGAGATTCAAATCTCAACGACCTATATTAACTCTCTCTTTCTTTTTTTAAAAAATATATTAATAGTTAAAAGCTAAATATATTAGGACATTGCTGCAAAACATTCTAAACAATAATCTTAAGGAAAACATATCAGTTATTAAAACTAAACATGGGGTTGCCGTAAACACTTTAATTACAATAATTAGTAGTTTCAAAATGTGCAAATATTCAAATCTTAATGCCCTTTCTCCTTAAACACACACACACATATATAAACTGTTAAAACCAAGCATAAGGTTGCCACAAATACTCTAATGATTGATCTTGTCATATACATACAATGTTAACTAAAACATAGAAAGCTAATGATAAATTATTTCACTCTGCTGATAAAAAAAAAAAAAAAAAGAAGAGAAATTTGAATCTCAATAACCTATATCAACTATTAAAACTAAGTGTATCTTTTGTATTTGAAATGCTTACATTTGGGAACCAAAATAGCTTGAAATCAAAATTAACCTTCAACAATTACAAATAACGTAGAAGAGAAATATATATTAGCTACTATGTGTAGCCAAAAACATGTTGGAGCAGCCAAGCAAAAGGGAGATCATAACCCTAATCACAAACAAGTTATTATATATAGCATAGTTCATTGTTGAAGATACATAGCAACTTGGATATATAAGAGCATCCGGTTTTTCAAAGCAAATAACAAGCAGCTGATATAATTAAAAACAACAACACATAGCCACACCGCATTCCCTAATTCATGAAATTGATCTGTAGTTTTTTGGAGCTTATTATGGATGGCAGCACCCTTTCCATTGCCCTCTTTCGATAAGTTTCTATGTTATTACCATCTTCATCAACGTCATTTGACAGGTAAATTTTCAGCTCTTCCAATAGAAGTCCAAGCACGAGCAGATATTTCAAGAAGAGAAGTTCATTCATGGTGCCCTTGAAGCCTTTTACCTCAATTACCTTCATGCTTCTCATTAAGCACTTGTGTAACACCAAGTCCCTGGTCCAACAATAGGCTGGAGTAAACTGAAATGGAGGCACATAATCCTAACCCAAAAATAAAATAATTAAAATGTCAAAAATTGAAAAAAAAGAAAAAGAGTTAATGTTGATCAACACTACAAATATACATGTATGTATATATCTTGGTAGAGATATATATAGACTTACAGGGAAGATTCTTGAAGGACCAAGATCAATAGTAAGAGTCTCAAGAAATGGACAACTCTCAAGTAGGAATTTGATTCCAAGAAGTTCATTGTTGTGTATTGAAGTCTTCAAAATAAGATGCTTGGTGTTGAGGGGGTTTGATGTACGCAATGGCTCAGTCCCACAAGGAACCACCTAAAAATTTTAAACCAATAAATTGTTATTTTGTATCAAAACAGGTAATAAGAAAGAACTAGATTTCGAAATCGAATTTAGATATAGGATTTACATATATATGATCTCAACTTAACCTAGATATGGGCTTACTATTAATCTCAAGTCAGTCATTTAACCTAGATATATATATGAATCAATCGGCCGAAAACAAACATGTAGAAGGAAAATAATATGAGATTAATTAATGCCATAGAAATCAAAACCGCTTCTCTTCATGAAATAATATGTATTATTAATTGCATACCTGAAGAAAGACACTATCGACTGTCAAAACCTTGGCGGAGAAAAGTTGTTCCAGGAGTTCACAAAGAAGATCGCCTAACATGTCAAACTCTGGCTCCGATCCGAAATCCAGTTCTGCCTCTTCAATACACCTCTGATTTTCCATCTTAAAGTAGCCAACAAGACCAGAATACTTGAAGAAACGAAGGCTCGGTCCGTCGATATAGACCCAGTTAGGACCACCAAAGAAAATGCATTTTTCGAGCACAAATTTTTTGAGCCTTGGATTAATGGTATCGGTGATTATTAGTTGAAACATATTCCAACAATTTTTTAGACACAAACTCTCCAGCAACGGACAGTTGTTCAACAGAGTCTTCATTGAACTCTCGTTGAGTTCGATCCAACCGAGGGAAAGATCTTTTATGTTTCTGAAATTGAAAGCAGACACATCAAGATTGCATGCAACAAGCTTCAAAGACTCAAGACTTACGTGCTTGTAAAATTCCGAAGGCAAATTCAGGGCGCCTGAGGGTGTATCATTTTCCTTCCACTCCGGATCAGAAAAATCGAGGGCTAATCCTTTGGTGTTCCGCTTGAGGGCGAACTTGATGAATTCCTGAATGACAGTCAGGAATTTTCCTGGTTTAGAGCAGGAAAAGGCAAAGTTTTTAACGGTGGGTTCCTGGTAACTCCGAATCCATTCCTTTGCAAATTCGAGAAAATCCCTCCTCCGTTCCTCCCTGATTTGGTCGGATTCTTCATGATTGACGAAGAAACTTTCGTCAAGTTCGATGTTGGCCGTGGAGCGCCAGATGTAACGCCATTGCTTTGACAGGATGGAGGTTCTCACCGCTTCTTTGAAGGGCAAGAAGGAGACGATGATGTAAAGCAGGGAGTCTGCTAACGTTGAGAAAGGATCTCGTTCTGAGATCTTGGGATCTCGTTTTGAGATCTTGGGATTAACGTCCATGGCTACGCAGTGAGGGTTTTCAGAGTTTTGGTTGGGATTGGCAGAGAGGAAAGTTGGCGAGTATGAGTTAATAATGAAGAGATGTAAGAAGCAAAGGGTTGTAATAATAAGACAATTTGAGAATGACGATGGTTTGCATCGGTTGGGAAACGAAACAACTCGTGCAAACCGTGGGCTTAGATTTAAAAACTTAAAATTATTTTATAATTATTATAATAACTTCTGTCAAAATTAAAATAAAAAATATATATGTTTTGAATTTTTTTAAAAAAAATTTGATAAACAAAATTTAAACTTTATATATATTTTTTAAAAATGACATAATTTTAAAGTACAAATTCATTGAACGAAAAAAATAAAGTAAAATTACGTGACAAACAGTTATAACAATTAGTATGATGTAAGTCCCACATAATAATATTGTAATTCTTGTGTATTCTCTTCTATTCCATATTTTTTGTGTCATTTATCATTTTTCATAATTTTAAGGTAAATATAGATTAATTCATTCACTTATATTTTCACCATAACCCCACATGGGAGGGATTATTGAATCATTTTAGTTGTTTTTAGTTTAACTTTTATATAAAAATTTTTTTACATATTTTTGCATAAAATTTGACTTGATAATTTTATATAGAAAATAAATGACAATTAATTTTTTTTTTCTTCTTACAAGTATAGTGGGGTTGCATATTTTCAGTTAGATAAAAAAAAATCAATCTTCATTAATTTGCCATATAAAATCAGCTAATTAATTTACATAAAATTAAGTGATTAGAAGAACTAAAAAAATTGAAAAGAATAATGGTAAATAAGTAGGCATATACCGATTCAATCACTTTGGTAAAGTAAAAGAACCTTAATTATACTCCTGTTTCAAAATTTTAAATCGTTTGAATTTTTTCACTTAGCTTTAGTTAATATTTTTTAATAGTATGTGAAGAATAACTAAGATTTTCTTTTTTTCTTATAGGTAGTTCTTATTAATAGTTTCATTTGATTAAAAAAAATTTTAATTATCATTTATATATTATAAAAAAGTATGAGTTAAAAGTATGTGTCCAAAAAATCGAATAACTTATATTTTAAAACAGAGAAAATAGTACTATTAATTGCATGGGATTATGAGATAAAGTTGTATAGGAAACATTTTTCTAATTTAAAAACCAAATATAATTTTGATTTTTCTTTTCTTTTTGCTAAAGAAAAGGATAAACTTGAATTGACCTTGACAAGAGGAAATCTAGGTCACTTTGGTGTTATATTAAATGTTAAAGAGCCAAAGGAAAGAGAAGCCCTACTTAAGATTATTTCCATATTAAGTTGTTTTATTTTATTTTATTTTTGTTTTCTTTTTTTGGCCTTCAATCTTTTCTACCTCTATTGGGGTTTTTTTAGTATTTTTACAAAAGGAAAAGGATCTATATTTTTTTCCTTGAATTTAGTCAAATATCTAAACTTGTTTGCCAATCCCTAATGCATCATATACATATTAAAGTTCTTTTATAATGGTTGGGAAATGCTCTCAAACTCAAAAATTACTTGTGACTGAGTAAGAATATGTATGGTGGTTTGGACCATGATAATGGTTGGAAAATGAACTGAAAAATTACAGACTTTTTGTTGTTCAATCGTGTAGATTACAAAAGATTAGATTAAGTTACTTTTTATGAATGTAAATTATTATTTATTAAGGGGCAATGATACAATAGATGAAAAAAGAGGACGAAATCATGGGACGAATGACATGACAAGCCATGTCATTAATATATAAATCTTTTAAAAATTTAAATCAAATAATTTTGCTAAGGTGGCATATTACTTTATAATCATCCCGTTTTTTCGTCTTTCTCATCATTATTCTTTATTAAGTTCTTGCGACATTCTAATAAATGATCCTAATTACCATTTATTGAGTTCCCTACATCATTTTAATAAATGATCTTAATTGTATTGAATCTAATAATAATGAATGCTCAATATATAGAAGACTCATTTTCATACTATAAAAAATAAGATAATTATAATATCAACCATTCCAAATTTTATTTGTAAAACAAATACTATGATAAGATTCCTTACATGTTGCATGTTCTTACAACAAACAAATACCATAGAAATAAATCCATGTTCACCATAGAAGACACATATCAAGCAGGCAGCAGCTAATTATTCAAATCAAATTGCAAACAAAACGGATGGCCCCAAAAAAAAAAAGAAAATTTGCAAACAACACGAGCAACATACAGACTTTCTCACACACTGCATTTCTCCAATTAATTAATAGATTGATATTCGCAGAGTTTTTGAGCTTCTTCTGAATTGCAGCACCCCTTCCACTGTCCTTTGTCGATAAGTTTCTACATTGCTACCATCCTCACCAACTTCTCGGGAGAGATAACTGTACATCTGCTCCATTGAACGTGCGAGGACGAGCAGATATGGTAGCAAAAATAATTCATTCTTTTTGTTCCCTTAAAGCCTTTCACCTCCACTTCCTTCACATCTCCCTCCATGTCTTTGTATAAGATCAAGTTCTTAGTCCAACAACCTTCGGCATTAAACCGATATGGAGGCTCATAACGCTAATAATAGGACAATTTGAGAATGACGATGATTTGCATCGGTTGAGAAACGAAACAACTCGTGCAAACCGTGGGCTGAGATTTAAAAACTTAAAATTATTTTATAATTATAATAACTTCTCTCAAAATTAAAATAAAAAATATATATGTTTGGAATTTTTATTTTTTTAAGAATTTGATAAACAAAATTTAAATTTTATATTATTTACTTTTAGAGATAACATAATTTTAAGGTATAGATTCACTGAATAAAATGAATAAGACAAAATTATGTGATAAACAATTATGACAATCAGTATGATGTGAGTCCCACATAATAATTCGGTGACTCTTTTTTCCTTTCTTCCGTTTTATATTTTTCATCTCATTTATCATTTTTTATAATTTTAAGGTAAATGTAGATTAATTTATTCACTGATATTTTCACCATAACCACATAGGAGCATTATTGAACCATTTTAGTTGTTTTTATTTTAACTTTTACATAAATTTTTTTGGGATGTAATTTGCATAAAATTTGATTTAATAATTTTATATAAAAAATAAATGGTAATTGAAAATTTTTTCTCTTCGTATAAGTATAGCGATGTTGAATATTTTTGGTTAAATAAAAAAAATCAATTTTCATTAATTTGCCATATAAAATCAGCTAATTAATTTACATAAAATTGAGTGACTGGAACAACTTAAAAAAATTGAAGAGAACAATAGTAAATAAGTAGGGAGATGCCAATTCAATCACCCTGGTAAAGTAAAAGAACCTTAATTATATTCTCTATATTTCAAAATATTAAATCATTTGATTTTTTTCACATAACTTTAGGTATTATTTTTTTATAGTATATAAATAATAATTAAGATTTTTATTTTTTTCTATATGTAGTTCTTATCATTAGTTTCATTTGATTAAAAAAATTTCAATTATTATTTATATATTATGAAAAAGCATACCTTAAAAGTTATAAATATATATAAAAATATCAAATGACTTGTATTTTAAAAGAAAGAGAACAGTACTATTGATTGCATTAGTTTATGAGATAAAATCGTATAGGAAACACTTTTCTAATTTAAAAAGTATATATATACATATATATATATATATATATGATTTTAATTTTTGTTTTCTTTTTGCTGTAGAAAAGGATAGACTTGAATTGACTTTGACAGGAGGAAATCTAGGTCACTTTGGTGTTATATTAAATGTTGTTGAGAATGACAATTGATACATGCATCCTTTAATTTAACGTATTTTATAATATATTTATTAAAAAATTATTATTTTTAAATTTAAATTTAAATTAAAAAAATTTTACATGTAAAATTTAATAATTGAATTGGTAATTATCAATAAATATGTTAAATCGAAAGATGTATCGATCATTACTTAAATTAAAAAACAAGAAAAAAAGAAAGAGAAACTCTACTTAAGATTATTTCCATATTAAGTTGTTTTATTTTATTTTATTTTTGTTTTCTTTTTTTACTACAATTCCTTTTTTAGCCTTCAATCTCTTTTACTTTTATTTCGGGTTTTTTTTTTCCTTAATATTTTTACAAAAGGAAAAGGATCTATATTTTTTTCCTTGACTTTAGTCAAATATTTAAACTTGTTTACCAATCCCTAATGCATCATATACATAT